ATCTACCACCTCCAGCTGTCGTTATTCATTGGCGACACGCTGTGAGAGAAGGCTCCGCTCTGCTGTGCTACGGCTCGCCCCACTCACTCGTCCTTGACGCCCAAATGCTGTTTGCCAATTGTCATGCCACCCGTCCTCTGTGAGTTATGACGGCTGCTTCGTTGACTCAGGAAAAAGGCTGCTCCTTGGCTCACCAGTGAGCAAGTCGCATGATGAAGGAGGGTCCTGGAAGTCTGCTCTTCAAGGAATCTGCCAGCAGGATATGAGTATTTTGAGCCCTGTGACAGCTAACAAATCTAACCTTGTGGGAATTGTGGGAGGCCCAGAAGAATACTCCAGAGTCATGCAGTCAGAGGAGCTATTCAGCAGGAAGCTCAAAGCCTTGAGCGATAGCATGGGACCTCCAGCCTCCAGCATGCAGGGGAAACCTGATGGTGCAGGCAAAACAAATGGTACTCCGGCAATGCCTAAAATGGGTGTCAGGGCCAGGGTCACAGAATGGCCGCCAAGAAAAGACGGATGGGACGGTCGGCCTTCGCCTAACTATCAGAGTGTGATACCCGTGTTTCAGAACGGCCAGCAGGAACACACTGTGGAAATACTAGACCAAGGTGAAGCAGTCTGTCTGGAGGTGGACTACACTGACAAATACACGCTGAGTGACTTTCTCTGCCACTCTCCGCTGAAGGGTCTGCACCCTATCCGTCAGCGGAGCAACAGTGACGTTACCATAAGTGACATCGACTCTGAAGACGTAATGGACCAGAATGCCGTCAACCCAAACACTGGAGCCTCGCTGCACCGCGAGTACGGCAGCACATCTTCCATCGACCGCCAGGGCTTGACTGGGGATGGCTTCTTCACCATGCTTAAGGGCTACCGAGTTGAAACCCTGGACCACCGCAGTATACCCCCTCTGGGTTTCCCCGAGTTGCTGCGCTGTGATGCCTCGCTGTCCCCCAGCTTGCAGACAGCAGCACAAATTGCAAGGGGTGAGATAGTCCACATTCCAGGCTATGACTACATTGACAGCTCCCTACTCTACAGCCGGGAACGGGAGAAGTCCTTCATGAGACGTCTTAAATCGGAGTCGTCAGAAACATCACTGTTCAGGAAACTTCGGCCCATAAAGAGTGAAAGTGACGCGCTGCGGCTCTCAATCGAGGACGACCGGCGACCGCTCAGCTTCCAAAAATGCTTCGCCCACTACGATGTGCAGAGTGTGCTTTTTAACATCAGCGAGGCGGTGGCGAGCAGAGCTAACCTGAGCCAGAGGAAAAACACTACTACCGGTGCCTCGGCCGCCTCAGCTGGAGCCGTAGCTGGTGGAGTGTCCGTAGTTGGAGGCGGTGCTGGACCTGGAGCAGGAGCCGATGGTGGAGCAGCAGGATGCAACAGTGCCAATACCCCCATGTTTGAGTCTCCACTGGGCAGCAGAGAGGACTTGAACCCAAAGGAGAACCTGGATGCAGACGAGGGGGACGGGAAGAGCAACAGCTTGGTGCTGAGTTGCCCGCACTTTCGCAATGAGATTGGTGGCGAGAGCGAGAGGAAGATCTCCCTCTCCAGAGCCAACAGTGTCAACTACAGCGGTTTGTCAGAGAGCTGCTCTTTCGAGTCGTCCCTAAGTTCACACTGCACCAACGCAGGAGTTTCTGTGCTGGAGGTGCCTCGAGAAAACCAGCCAATCCACAGGGAAAAGGTCAAACGCTACATCATCGAGCACATTGACCTTGGAGCATACTACTACCACAAATTCTTCTACGGGAGAGGTAAGGAGCTAATTTCTGTTAGATAGTTAAAAGTGATGATGCAGCAGGATTTGTGTGACTCACTGTTGAGGACTATTAAACTTTCCAGGCCAGCTACATTTTTATAAAGTAAGACTTCTTCAGTCACCTGTGGGGAAGCTAGTTCCCAGATGGAACAGCCTCATCTCACAGGGTCAAATATCTCAACGTCCCAGTTGTTTTTTGTACAAGCACATGAAATAAAGTCCAGAACAATAGCAGGCTTGTGTTGGGTGCGAGGGCGTGTGTTTCACTTCCTCAGCAGAGGAGCGGTCATGTCCTCCCTCTGATATTACTCCGAACCCTGCGGAGAAACTGCGATTAGTCATGTGAAAAAGAGAGAGGTGAGTGAGAGGGTGTACTGCAGCTGTTCCCTGCAGGGACTAAGAGAGTACGAGGTCTCCTCATATGAAACTTTAGGGTCAGCAGAGCTACGCCAAGGTCCCAGTTCTCCTCATTAAAACACCTACGAGACGAATGCTGGAAATACCGTGCTGACCCCGACCCATCGCCGCATTATACATATCTGTTTTTCCCACTTCTCTGTGCAATCTGTGCTCGCTGGTCTCAGCAGATAGAGTTACCCCGTCTTAAGCCTGCCCCCACCATAGAAAACAGCTGCTTCACCTTTCACACTCTGAGATGCCTTAACTTCTTCGAAAAGACACTCTGAATAAAAATCAGTCTCTGAGAGACATGTTGATAATTGCCCAAATGCCCTGCTAATACTCACACCAAAGCTGGGTTCTGGATTTGGGTTGTGCATTTATTTAGCCTGCATTCACAGCAATGCAGGCCTGTGTATAACAGGGCATTTTCATGAAGACATTAGTCTTTAGGGTAGGATGCCTCTTTCACAGTATGGAAATGTAGCTACTGCCTTTTTCATTTTTTTAAAATAAGGTGTTTTATTGACTAGACAGGTCTGTCATCACCTGCGCTTCACAGCAAAGACACTCTCACACAAACATGACTACGTGTCACTATTTCTCAGCAGGCTTTCATCAACCTGGACTGAACATTGATCCAATTGATTGCCTAAAGCCCTGCTTCCCTTAGCAACCAGAGTGGTTTTTCCCCTAATGGACACAATGCTTCCTTCACACAAAATGGGTCAACCTTCACTACAGGGAGTGCAGAATTATTAGGCAAGTTGTATTTTTGAGGAATAATGTTATTATTGAACAACAACCATGTTCTCAATGAACCCAAAAAACTCATTAATATCAAAGCTGAATGTTTTTGGAAGTAGTTTTTAGTTTGTTTTTAGTTTTAGCTATTTTAGGGGGATATCTGTGTGTGCAGGTGACTATTACTGTGCATAATTATTAGGCAACTTAACAAAAAACAAATATATACCCATTTCAATTATTTATTTTTACCAGTGAAACCAATATAACATCTCCACATTCACAAATATACATTTCTGACATTCAAAAACAAAACAAAAACAAATCAGCGACCAATATAGCCACCTTTCTTTGCAAGGACACTCAAAAGCCTGCCATCCATGGATTCTGTCTGTTGAAAGAAGTAATGCAGTTATGAAAAAGTGATATGGAATCATGTGGAATTTAAGACATGTTGTACAAGGAGAACTCAGTTATATTCAAGAGGATTCACACTTTGAATTTATTGCAAGCAATGTGTTGTGCAAGCAATGGCAACAAAAGATAGTTGTGTAACCATAACACGGTGAAGAATTTACTAGGAATTTATTGTTATTTGTTACATGACTGGGTATAGAAATAGCACCACACCAATATAAGCAGAAGACTCCCTTTCCTTATTTCTAATCTTTGAAATAGTGTTGTCAAACCAGCAAGTTAAGAAAGTCTCTTTATGTTAAATTGAAAATAATTTGGGAATTTCTCCAGTTATGGTACATAATGTCAATAAAATATTTAGAGAATCTTTAAAAAAAAAAAAAAAAAAAAAACAAAACAAGTTGAAAGAAATAGCAAAACACACATTCTGCAGTGCAATTTACTACATGGGTTCATGGGTTTGCACTCTAATCACTGTTGGTTTTTGCATTCACAAATCCACTGAGAAGGCAACAGTATTTCTGGATCTTGTTAATCCAGAAATACTGTTGCCTTCTCTTTTTTAGAAGTAGGCAATGCACACCAACAGCAAAAAGGCCACCCTATCATTATTTTTCACATAGTGCTTGAATCAAAATGACCCCATTTAAAAATAGAGTATATTATTATTGTTTGATTAAGATGCCAAAGTTATAGTTATTATAGTCATGTACTTATATTCATGAGCAGAAAAAAATATTGTGGTTGAGCGTTATGCTTGATTAATTCCTGACTTCTCAGAGAATTCCAGTGTGCCAGTTTAAATTTAGGGAGTAAAAACATGAATTCAGTTTGAAATTCCTCACTGCTGCTCAAAATAGTACAAACATCAAGAATTCACTGAAAAAGGAAAGAGTCCGCATTTAAGCACTGTGATGCTGGATGGTCTTTAAGACAAACAGGGCGAGACAAAGTGTTCTCACAGTGCAGTCAAGTATTCTTTGGAGTTGATTACAGAGACTGATACTTACAAAATGTTCCAAGGAAGAGGCAGAAAATGAAAGCTGACTGAAGCAGATCTCAGGGCTCTCTAGATTTAAAGTACTACAAACAGAAGGACGGACACTGGTGATCTTTAGCCAGAGATAAATGCTTCTAGACCAGAGTCTGAGAAGGTCTCAAGAATGAACACTGGTAGAGTACTGAAGGAATAAGTGTTAAAGCAGGGGTGTCAAACTCGTTATACATTGCAGGCCACATACAGCCCACTTTAATCTTAAGCGGGCCAGACCAGTGAAACTCTACTTTCTGTCAGTGTAAATAAGTTAAATATGTAACTGTTTTTCTACACAACGAAAAAAAAGCTGCTGTGACAAAGAAAGAAACCTGTCAGCACAACTGTTCTACCTGTATTGTCCAGACTTTGTAGTTTTTTGTTTATTTGTTTGTCTGTTTTGTTTTTTCCTTTTGGGGGGGGGGTGAGGGGGGGTTTAAACTGTAGTCATAAAAAAAAAAAAAGAACAACAACAACAACAGAAAAATCTATTGAAAGTGAAAGACAGAACCCAGAAGTTCTGTGTAATACGTAAGTGAATAATGCAGAAAATGTAGATTTTTGATGGGAAACTGGTTTCCAAGTACACAGAGCAAGAGAACTATACAGGAAGTGTGATTTCATCATGCAAGCAAGACAGTGAAGTTAATTCTAAATGTGTTTTTGTGCTGCTGGCTCGCTGAATTTTGGTCACAGTGACAAAAGTGACTGCAGTTTTGGTATCTGTGAGACACTGTCTCCGTGTTGTCGGATGAACAGAGGGATCCGTGCTTTGTGTTAGCATCTTTTTGCAGAATCTGTTTACCTGCTCTTTAATCGTTTACCGTTTTATCTGTTGGACATTGTTGAAATGGTTTTGGAGGCTTCCAGCTGAGATTTCAACGTTTCTGTGGACACCACACGTGTCTACATTTAAATAACAGATCTGACGGTAGATCCTATAAAACCAGATGTTCTTGCTTGCCTCCAGTACCAGGGGCATTGGGGTTCAACAGGTTAATTGTTTATTTCTTAATTACTTTGTCTAGTATAAATGGCCATAGGGGAGGTTTCTATCAGTAGAATAAGCTGTTAAAGTTGTGAAAATACAGTTAAAAGTCCAAGAACTATGCTTGTGCTTGTTTGTGGTAAGCAGTGAATCAAACAAGTTAATGATTATAAATGGCTTCAAGCACACATTCAGGTATCAATGTGTATCACTGAAATGAGGCCAGATGGTGCTCAGCTTACATTTTTGCTCATTTCGTCACCTTTTCTCCAACATGCTTGCATTTAAATCCAGCTCCCCCATCTCTCTGTGTACCTGGCCTGTACCAGTTTACTTGCTGTCTTCGGAACATCTGCCTCTCATTCTTCTTTCACATAATGGTATGATCACAATCTGTGTTTGCACATGATTGGCTGCATGGTGTGCCCATTAAAATAAAGTCCCACCCCTCCCTGCCTGAAGACTCAGCTCGCACATATCGACAGGCCATTAATTGACATATATACTGATCTTGCGGGCCAGATATAATTGTATCGTGGGCTGGATGTGGCTCGCAGGCCGTACATTTGACACCCCTGTCTTAAAGGGAAGAATACCTTCTAAGAAACCATTATGTGAAATCTGCAAATACTCAGAAACATCTGCCAGAGAGCACAAACACCGGACTCTAAATGACTGGAGGACAGAAGGTATTCTGGACCGGCGAGTCCAAATTTGACTCTCTACAGACTGTTAATGTCTGCACTGAGTCTGAGAACTTTATGATGCTAGATGCATAGCACCCGCAGTGAGATTCCATTATAATATGTGGCTCCATCTTGATATTTCTGGCAAATTACTGCAAGTCAGCAGCCATGAATTACAAGGTCTACACAAAATCTTGATGCATCATGGAATCCCATCTGGACTAAAAGTTATTGGTCATCGGTTCATTTCATTAACAAAAAAAACTCCAGCATAGGTCAAAACTGTGCAAAGACTATCTGACCAATTAAAGGGAATTTGAAGTTCTCGACGACCAGACTAAAATCTATAGAACAGATTTGGAATTTAGTCAATTCTAAGAGATTTCACAAGCATTTCATCCAAAGCAAATATCTGGGAAAAGCTAGAAACTATTTGGAAGTCAATAAAATAAAATAAAAAAAGAGAATGAACATAAGTACATAAAAACAATATCAAGATGCAATGCAAGAATTCAACAAGGCCAAAGGAGGCATTATTATGCTTAATATATTTCTAAAATATTTCCGTTTTCTTGTCTGTATGATTTTTTTTGATCACTTATCGGTCCCCAATTTTGGAAATAAAGATAATATTTTAATTATTTCCAAATCATCAATCATTTTTTTTTTTTAAATTTATTTACAAATTTTTGGAAATTGGATTTTATTTTTATGATTCATGGCACAAGCCTGCATTTTTGGGAATTAGAGTATTTAAAACCATCTTATTAAAACTAGACCTTGTAAATGTTATTTAAGGGTCTCTTCAGTATCTGAGGCAACGCCCCCCCCACCAAACTCTGCATGTTGTTGTTTTTTTAAGCACAGGGTGGCTTTTGGCTGAACACCATTTAATCAGAACTATGCAAAGTTTGTTCTAGCAATTTTCCTGAAATACTCTTAAACATCAACAACTCCTCCACAGTCCTACAGCCTGTGTTGTCTCTTGCTTATTAAAATACTCTTGTGCAAACATTTGTTCAATACAGGGCATTTTTGCAAAGTACACTTACAGGAAATCCAGACTTCTAAGCTGGCCTGGTTTTGTTTTCCACAAACTGCTGTGAATTTGTTGTTAAATAGACTTTAAGTCATATTCACATAATATGTGAATCTATTTTCCTATTCTAAGGGAACCACTCTGTATGTATCATTAAACATCATTTATTTTTACCATCGGCTCCTGCCAATTTCTTTTGGGGCCACCAACACTGCTCATAGAAAGAAATCTATATTTAAAAATGCACTTTTAAATTGATATGCCAGTCATTATCAAGTATAAAAGTCTAAATCTGCGGCATCAACCAAAATGCTTCA